GTGCCCGCAACCAAGGTACATGCCCTTGATTGGAATCGAACCTGGGACCCTTCAGTCCACAGGCCGATGCTCTATCCACTGAGCCAAACCGGTTAGGGCAAGGGTTCACCTTTTGTCCATTTAAAAAATAGATTGCTTGCTTGTTTTGTTGTCATTAAATTTTTATAGTTCTTGGTCATAAAAAGGAAGAAAATTTTACCCTTTGCGACAGCATGGATGGACCTGGAAAATATTATACTAAGTGAAGTAAGCCAGTCAGAGAAAGACAAGTACCATATAATTTCACTCATAGGTGGAATTTAATGAACAAACTGAGCTAACAAAAATAGGGACAAACTCATAGATAAAGAGCAGGCAGACAGCTCTGGTGGCAGGGATGAGGTGGGATGGGTGGGGGGATGAGGGTATTGGTGTGTGGAAGGATTAGAAGGATTGAGTAGAAAAAAGAAAGAACTCATGGACATGGACAACAATGTGGTAATTTCAAGGTGGGGGGAGTGAGTTGGATGCAGGTGGAAGAGGGTACAGGGGGGATACAAGACCTTTATTTGACATACGCTGTGAAAATATTTTCTTCCAGATTGTTTCTTGTATTTTCATTATCTTAATAGTATCTTTCAAAGAGCAGGTATTTAAATCGAGCTGATCAATTTGTTATTTTCTAAATTGTGATTTTGTTGTATCTAAGAAATTGCTGCCTTAATCCCAGGTCAAGGTGTGTTGTGTGTTTTTTTTCCGTAGAAGCTTTATAATTGAGGTTTTATATTTAGGTCTATGATCCATTTTGAATGAAATTTTTAATATGGTGCAAGGTATGGATTAAAGTTTTTTCTGCAGATAGACATCCAATTGTTCCAGCATAATTTGTTGAGTTATGAATTGCCATTGTACCTCTGTCAAAAATTAGAGGCCACATGTATGTGGATCTATTTCTGGACTCTCAATTCTGTTTCACTGATTTGTCTGTCTTCACACTAATAACTCACTGTCTTGATTATTGTAGTTTTATAATGCATCTTGAAATCAGATAGTGTGTTAGCCCTCCAAATTTGTTCTTTTTCCAAGATATTTTGGCTATTTGACCTTCTTTGCACTTCCACATGAAATTTTACAATCGGTGTGTCAATTTTCACAAAAATATGTGGGATTTTGATTAGGATTGTATGGAATCAATAGATCAAGTGGGGGAAAATTGACAGTTCTAAATGTTGAGTCTTCCAACCCACAAATATGGCATATCCCTACTTATTTATGTCTTCTTTAATTTTTCCCGTCAATACTTTTTATTTTTCAGTATACAGATCTTCACATTTCTGTCAGGTTTATCTCTAAGTACTTAAAATATTTTTGATATTGCTGTAAATGGACTTTTAAAAATTTAAATTTCTGATTTTTCTTTACTAGTATGGAGTACAATTAAGTTTGTAAATTGATTGCATATCATGCAACCTTCTAAACTCATATTAGTTCTATTAGGTTTCCAGAGATTCCACAGCATTTCCACATAATTGATTATGTTGTTAGTAAGTTAAGAACATTTTTCAATATAGACGAGTTTTATTTTATTTGTCTATTGCACTGGTTGTAATGTCCAGTGCAATATTAAGTAAAAGTGGTGAGAGGAAGCATTCATTGTTTCATTATTTTTAAAAATACATATTTTTATTGATTTCAGAGAGGAAAGGAGAGGGAGAGATAGAAATATCAATGATGAGAAAGAATCATCGATTGGCTGCCTCCTGCATGCCCCCTACTGGGGATCGAACCCGAAAGCTGCCCTTGACTGGAATCGAACCCGGGACCCTTCAGTCTGCAGGCTGACGCTCTACCTACTGAGCCAAACCAGCTAGGGTCATTGTTTCTTTATTAAGCGTGATGTTAGATGTAGGTTTTTTTTGTAGTTCTTTATCAGACTGAGGGTGGTCCTATTTCTAGTTTGAGCGTTTTAAATCAGGAATGGATGTTGGATTTTGCCAACTGATTTTTCTGAGTCTATTGAGATGCTCATGCAATATTTCTTTTGTGGTTTGTTAATATGATGTTACATTGATTATTTTTTTCTGCAAAAAGCTTTATTGTTTCATTCGATCCAATGCATGGGTGAGGCTTCAGGGTGGTTAAAAGAATGGCTAGTAGTTTCAGGAAGAGGCTCAGGTAAAAGCCAGGCACCCGGGGATGCAGAGGGGCCTCTGAAAGCCCTCTGGGCTCCAAAGGCTCCTAGTTGTGCTTGAAGGTGAGCCTTTCGAAGAGATACTTGCCCAGCCTGGGGGGGTGGCCAGCCTGCGATGTTAGTCAGGTGGTGGCCCATCTTCTTGATCAGTTTCACCTCCTCATCCAGGAAGTGGTTCTCCAGCAGGTCACAGAGCTGAGAGTCTGTGCGGGTAGAACCCAGGGCCTGCAGCTCCAAAAGGGTCTGGTTCAGGTGCCTCTCCAAGGCCAGGGCGGCTTGCATGACGTCCTGAGTTTTGCCCCACTGACCTTGGGGAGGCTTCAGCACGTCCGGGAAGAGAATGTGGCCACCGTGCTTGTTTTGCCACTTTAAGAGATGCTCAGTGCTCTCGAGCTTCTTCTCTGCCAACTCGCCAACTCGCAGAAGTGGCCCACACCCTCGAGCGCCACTTCCACTTCGTGGTGGTGGAAATAGAAGCCCAGAGAGAGGTAGGTGTATGGGGCCCGCAGATGCAGGTTGGCCAGGTGGTTGATGCAGCCTCCACCCTGGTGGAATAATTCTGACCAATTGGGAGCTCCTGGTTGTTCGGC